CCTTGGCTCACACCGAACAGCAAGCTATAAAGGGCCCCAGAATGACTAGTGTAAAACAATTCAAACAGGAAAACCAACGGTCTAATCTATATAAAAAACGAGAAACGAGAAACACTTATGAACCACCCAACAAACGACAACCACTGAACAACAGGCTCCTGACTTAGGACAGGCGCATACAAATGCAGCGGGTTTAAACGTTTTAAAAGGCGCCAACCTTCACCCTAACCTGATATAGTAGTGTAACATTACAACATTTATTATGTCTGTTTGTCTTGCTCACACATAATTGTCAATATAATGGAATTCTATGCGACTGTCGTACAAGTGAGAGATATAGCTAGCTGTAAAACCTGGTTTAATCCACCATTTTCTAATTGAGGAAATGCCTGTACCAAGTCAGGAATATGACAGTTGTTTTCCATTGGTTTGATGTGTATGAGCTTTTGATTTTGCCATTTGATAAAGGACTTTCCGTTTTGAATTTCTCTTGGAGTTATTTTACTTTTTTTGATAAAATTTGTCATATAAGGACAATAACTCTTATGAAATGTCGTCTGACAAATTTGATGTGAATAGACAGTAGGTAGATCTCAACACTTTGAGCATTTTTGCCCGTGTCAGATATTCTCTATCTCTAGCGTTTATCAAGACAGAATTTGTACTTTACCCCTATGTTGTATTTTTAGCCATGTCGACCATGTTGGTGGACAGGCCATACATTTCTCGAATGAGATATACACAGGATGATTGTGGCCATGTTTGGTTTTCATTGGTCCAGTAGTTTCAGAGAAGCTTTTGTAAAAGTTAACGCACGAAGACGACGGACGACGACTACGACAAACGCCATGTGATGAGAAATTAAGAATGTGTAACTTCTGGACCAAGTGAGCTAAAAACTCCGCTGCATGTTCATGTACCTATCACATGTGACCTGATTAATAGTCAACGGTTTAATGATCAACGTTTAGATTTCATGCTTATGTATGTTACTCAAAAAGTTCATGTTACAGATTCACTATAATGCGCCCATAAGATGTGCGTATCTATTTGTCAGAGGTCATTTGACATCTAGTGACCCCATCAGACGAGTACACATTCACTAGACCAAATGTAATCCTTTTCATTCAGTGTGTGATAAACTGACCTAAGCATGAAACTTAAAGTTGATAACTGAACCATATGAAAAGGGTCAATAGCAGGGGATCCCTGTTTGTAGCATATGCATACTTTACATGAATGAGACTAGTCACCGGATTTATACATGCCTGAGCAACATAACGGGTGCCACATTTGGAACAGAAGCTGTGTACCCTTCCGGAGCACCTGAGATTACCCCCGGTTTTTTGGTGGGTTTCATGTTTCTATATATTTAGTTTTCGATGTAGTGTTTTGTGGACTTATTCGTCTTTTCGTCGTTTTTTGCAATGGCGTTGTCAGTTTTTCTTCGACGTAGGAGTTTTGAATGTTTTCTTTGTATCTTCCGCCTCTGTTTTTCACAATTATTCTACAAACATGTATTCACTAAAAAATGACAGAAGACACAGAGGACATTCAAAATTCATTAAGTCGAGGAAAAGCAGCCAAAACCATGACCAGATAATGGAACAACGAAAAGACAAACAACAGTCTACAAAACACTAGACAGAAAACTAAAGAATCAAAACACGATTGAATTAATTAGTGAACACAGTCAACATCTCCGGTTAGAATAGATATGTGTCACCATTTGCGACATTAATTACAAACGAGACAAAATCATATAAAAACACTTTGTTCATAACACCTGAAACAAAATAAGTTATTCAAGCTAATATCAGATTATAACATGTCAATTTTTCAGATCAGATGTATAATACATCTGATATGAAAAATGACATGTTATGATCTTTTTATCATATGCTTTAACAATGGAGAGAAAAACACAGTTTCATATATTGATCCTTTTTAGTTGTTCTCAAGTAAAAGTTCAAAAAGTGAAAAGTTTACGGACGACGGACGCCAAATGTAAAACATCCGATATGAAATATTTCTGTCATATGCCACAACAGAGGAGAAAAATAACAGTATAAAGTATTTTTATATTCACGATAAAAAAAAATCAACAAAACAAAATGAACACTGTTTGGAAAAGTCAGCATTTGTAAAGTAACTTTCTAAATTATGCTGGAAACTTTGAAAAATGCATTTATTGTATAATTTGTTTGCATTTTACATAATACATTTTCCTGTTTCCTTATATATATTTGTACCCTACTTTGTTATGTTTTTCACTGAAAACGTACCATTGAGATGTACTTTCCGGAATTTGCCGAGTAACGCCGGAATGCCATGCGATAACGTTACGGAAAGGCATGCGATAATAGCCGGAAGCAGTTGATAAATTTTTCATATCAGCCCGCTAAGCACCATTTCGGTAAATATGGAATTCACGTAAATTTAATGCTATTATCATACTGTAAAATTTATAAGTTATTTACTCCAAGTATATGATAAATGTTTTATTGAACACTTAACAAGTCAGTAAATTGTTAACACGTGTGTAGTGTTTTGATTGTAACTCACTGCTTGATATTTTAAATGGGCTTATATTGCCCTGACATAACGAATATAAAAAATCAATTTCACTGGTTTAATACTTTCCAAGTGGTTTGCTGGATTTTAAATCGAAAAGTTCCCCAACACATCTGAGATGTCAATGTACGACTTAGACAAAGGCACAATCAGATTAAGATTTATATTTTAAAATGTTTAATTTGATATAGATAAAAAGACCCTCCCCCCCTTTTTTTTAGCAAATTTTCCCAATTGTAAAAAATATATTCCATTCCATAAATGATTAAATAATCTTTACGGGCGTTGCATGAAAATTAAATCGCCAACAGTGTGCATATTGATAATCCTAGTTATGCGGTGTTTTGAACAAATACAAATCAACAATCTTGTATTACATTCATTTGTAACATAAATTGGCACAATTGCAGATAATGTTTGATATCATATCAAGTAGAATGGAATTAAGCAAGATATTGTTTGACTGCTACAAAATGCAATACTTAAAAATGCAAATCATGCATTAAGAGTAATATTTCTTATAACCCAAGTCTAATGGTGTCGTCTATGTTAATTGCCCTTAACCTTATTTTCATTGAATAATGAATTTCAGGTGTCAGTATTTTTTTGCGTTTAGACGAGTTTCGCAGAAGTAATCTGAATCTGATATCGATCGCCGGTTCAATAGTCAAATGAATGTTTAGATTTTATGCTTAAATCATTTTATGCCCCACATACGATAGTAGTAGGGGCATTATGTTTTCTGGTCTGTGCGTCCGTTCGTTCGTCCGTCCGTCAGTCCGTCCGTCTGTCCCGCTTCAGGTTGAAGTTTTTGGTCAAGGTAGTTTTTGATGAAGTTGAAGTCCAATCAACTTGAAACTTAGTACACATATTTCCTATGATATGATCTTTCTAATTTTAATGTCAAATTAGAGCTTTGACCCCCAATTTCACGGTCCACTGAACATAGAAAATGATAGTGTGAGTGGGGCATCCGTGTACTATGGACACATTCTTGTTTCAGTTGTTATGATCAATTATTCAACTATATTTGTTCAATAATATGGTTGAAAGGTGAACATGCCTGTCTGACAGGAGTAATCTCTTTTCCTTTTTTCCAAGGTTAGAAAATCAACACTAAGTTTTCACTCTTAAATCATTTTTTCATTAAGCTTAATTTGTCTATAAAAGACCTAAAAGATTAACTTGACTGCCTTTTTTTCATGGTGCAATGGTAACATTTTGCTCTTTAGTCAGTTTTGTATTTACTATGAGAAATAAGTTATCTGTAAATGGAATATAGAATGGCAGCAATGTGTCTAACAGTAGTCACCACACCTTACATTTGTAGGTTCTTCGGACGGTTAGTAATTAACGTCATGTTATTCTATTGATGTAATTTTCACATATATGTACTATAAGTTAAAGTTCAAGATATATATTTTGACTATTGGATGTTTGAAGAATACTTGAAAATTTTCACATATGAATAACAAGGGAAAAGTTTTCAGTCAGTATTTCAGTTACCTTGAGAAATAGGTCAACAATTTTTGGTCTATAAAATCAGTTACTGTGACTTGACTGTAAGTGTTGCTCTCCATCTATTACAGTTTATTCAAAATTCTGACCAAATTGCAATTTGTTTTATTAAACCAAACTGTTCAACTGGTCAGAAATTCTAACAAACTGCAGTCAAGTTATGAAAGTGCAAGGTGATAAAATAAAGCGTACTTACAATCCTATTAGACTTTAATTCCACATTTTTTTAGCAGATCAAAGATTACTATCTATCACCTTTCGAATGGCTATTACAATAAAAGAATTTATAGAAATTCTTATAAATATTTTCATAATATCAATGAAGTAGAATTAAAGTCTAATAGGTGTGTAAGTATGCTTTACTTTATCACCTTGCACTTTCAAAACTTGACTGTGATTTTCTACAGCAATTTGTTAAGATTTCTGACCAGTTGAACAGTTTGGTTTGATAAAACAAATTGCAATTTGGTCAGAATTTTTAATAAATTGCTATAGGTGGAGAGCAACACTAACAGTCAAGTCACAGTAAAAGGGAAAATATCTTTTTGGCTTGGGTATCTTTTTCAGGACTGGAAATCTGTGCTTGTGTACGTTTAGTACTATGAGTATCAATTCACATTAGTTTGGTCTATACGTTAGGTGCATACGTCTGTTTGGTAAGGGCCACCAAATAAAAGGCATACTTGTATCATTTATGATTCATTATTAAGTTTTAAGTGTTTTTGATACATGTATATACAACTTTATTCCAAAGACTTTCAAAATATTTTTTCAGTTATAGTCAATAAAGCAGGTAAAACATTGCAGAACTTCTGTTACATAATAGCTCAAAACGTTTAAATCTAATCTAACATAAAAAAGTGTGTTTATGGCTAGGATTAAGATGCTAAAAAAGCAAAACAACTTACCAAGATCGATTTCGATATCAGAATCATTGTATTTTTCATCTGAAAGCCAATGAATTTAACGCAAAAAGAATGAAATAAGTTGTTTCCTTTAACCAATGAGTATAACCAAAAACAGATAGATTAAATACACTTATGTCGGTTTTAAAGAGGTGCAAGAACTTTATTAAATATGATAAGGCCACTTTTTGGTCCACTGAATTTTAAAATAAAAAAAAGTATTATAAATCTACCTAATAGCATCCATCAGATGGTAATAAGACATGAGTCTGTCGGACATTTATTTTTATATTTTTTTAATTTTGTCTTACATATTGGCATTAGGACCTCAAACTTCTTACATTAAGAGCAAAACAGATACAAAATATATTTTACAACGATCTTTAATGTGTGTGAACTATCTTTTAAGGCAATTTAAAAGATGTTGCTCATATATATTTTGACAAAAAATATGCGTTAAATGGTTAATTTAGATCAAATACGATATTTCGACATGCTTATGGCGTCATGGTGACACCACGAGTCGTCTTTGTGCACGAAAGTGTTCAGATTATATTAACCTGTTCAATTACCAATACAGTTTTTAAATATTTCTAGAGAATTGAGAACTGCGAAATTGAATTACTTTGTAAATATTAATTGTATGCACAGTGTATTCCCTTTCTGTGTAGAAGTTCTTATTATAAGCATGAATAAGAAAATATTCAGGTATATATAAACAGTTCAAAGCCAACAATATGTTTTTATATACTGCCGTTGAGTTTACTTTTACTTAATTTTTACTTTATCGGGAAAGTGTGTGTATGTCATTATGTTATACTGCAGTTGTTTTCTCAGGGGCGGATTCAAGCGGGGGCGTGGCCGGCGTGCGCCCCCCCCTAAAATTTGCAAAGCATGGTTTGTCCTCAGCTTAATAAAGAATATTTCAATAATCTTACCTCAAAAAACATTTAAGTTTGCCCCCCCCCCCTAAACTAAAATCCTGGATCCGCCCCTGTTTCTAGTCGTTCCTTTGGTATATATAGTCGAGCGTTTGATTTTGTCAAGTTTTATGGACTTCCTCGTTTTTGAATTTATCTTAGGGTTCGGTAATGTTGTGAACACAATTTTACTAGTATCGTGATTTCCTTATTTCATATTTGTCATACATTTAATTTATTTTTGGTATTGCTAGTTATATCTCAAATTATTTGATTATAGGGTTAAATCTATGTTTAACTACACGCGAATATAAATACAGAGGACTTTTGCGTAAAGTTTTTGATATAATAGATCTTAAGTTTACACTAGGGAGGTTTATATTGCCTTGACCGTGTTTGGCACAACTTTTTGGAATTTTCGGTTTTTGATGCTCTTCAACTTCGTATTTGATTTAGCCTTTCAACTGTTTCGATCGCCAATAACAAGTCTTTTGTAGGCGAAATGCGCGACCGGCGAACCAAAGTAAGTGCTTAGTATTTTTGATGGTGTAGAACACACAACACTTCAACAAACTGGTCGATGCGTGAACAAATTCAATCACAACTAATATTCGCACTTTTCTATAAATCATGTCAGTGAATTTGTCGAATTTACACAAATTGTGTGAAATTTCTAGAAATTCATTTTTTTTTTAATATTATAATACTTAAATTATAATATATTATGGAAATTCTACATTTTGTTTATTTGATAAGTAACTTTTAATGAATTTTGTAGTGATTTCCCGTTTCCATCTTTTTCAGCCTGGAACAGATCTCACTTTTTATTGTGTAATACGAACATATCGTTTATCAAGTATCAACTAAAATATAGCATAGCAATACCATTTAAAAAATAGTTTATTATTTTTTATATTTGAATAGGAATAGAGCAAAAATTTATTATTCGCCCGATCCGTAGGAGGTCTGTCCGTCCGTTCATCCGTCTCGTGAAAATTTCGTCGCATTTAATAAAAAAAACTTCAACCCAAAGCTTCATAAAATTTGTTATATGGCTTCATGTGAGAATGCTATAACGTGTGAAACGGTTTCAGATTCGTCGCTCATTACCTTTCTTAACATTCTTAATATTCTTAACATAATAGCCATTATCTGCTCTTTGGCCGGGTTGTTGTCTCTTTGACATATTCCCCATTTCCATTCTCAATTTTATGTATGAAATTTTCTTCGCATTTTTCTAGGGAGTAAACATGATAGCTTCCTAAAATTTGTTATCAGCCGTCAGGTCAGCATGTTATACTGTATGACACAGATTCATATTCATTCCTCAACAACTTCCTGTGTATCGAATACTTATTATTCTAACACATACAGGTCAAGCATGAAATTTCGTTGCATTTTTCTTGGGAACTACAAATTAGAACTTCCTGAAATTTGTCACCACTCTTCATGTGTACATCCTTTACTTTGTAATGCGTTTTTCATATTCATTTTTCGTCAACTTACTGATAACCAAAAACTTAAAGCGGGGTATCGATAGTGAGCAATAGCCATCATTTCTACTCGTTAATTCTTCATTAAAAGAGAGGCGAAAGATATTTAAGGAATATTTTAACAAACAAGTCGAGACAAACTGACAACGTCATGGCAAAAAACGAAAAAAGACCAAAAGACAAACAACCCGTCGTGTTGCTCATGTAAGTACAAATTCGGTGATATGTCTGATTCGGTGATGACACATTCGAGCAAAAGAGGACTAGATTGTGGTTACGACAATTGGAACATATACGTCGTCATCTGTGAAACAGATATTCTATAGCGGTCAACCAACTCGTGAAGGCGTCCGTAAAAATAGGTCAGATAAGTAAAATGATTGTTTTGTTTTTTTTATTCAGCAGCCATTATTGTTTTACAGATCATATTTGACTAAGTGCTGTAAAAATATAATTCTTACCTCTAGTTCTCATGACTGTTATGCAGATTTCATATATAGCAGTTTTACCATTACTATCTTGTCGGTCTACGATCTGTTGGTGAAAGGATTCAAAAATGCATGTAATGGTTGGTGTATTAACAGAAATTCTTTCGAATGAACGTTCAAAACTAATTTACTCGAAGAATACAAAAATATACACGTAAAATAACTCTAAGCATCAGAAAACTAGCTGTCTGTTCAATAAGCTTTCGAGTACGACATTTAAGGTGGTACCAAATACCTTGACTGAAATAAATTTGGCTCGTTTAATTTTCATAAAATCTAACAAAATATTTACTTTGATCCTTTGACAAAAATATAAAAATTTCAAAAAAACTTGAACCACACACTTTATCGGAAAAATTTCATTGGATATATAGCAGTTTGACAAACACTAATTTTGATCATTGAGAAGCTTAATATTACCTTAACAATAGAACGTGATTAAAACGTTCAGCTGATTTTAACAGAGTTATCTCCCTGTGGTGTTAGTTACCACCTTAAGAGACAGACAAGAGTGAGAAAAGTAATAGGATACCAGCTGGGAAAAAGAAAAAATATAAATCGAAGAAAGACCAACAACATTATTGTCATAAAGAAAAATATAATATTTAACACACCACACAGAAAATTAAACAAGATTGAGCACACTGAAATGTCCATATTACGTAATTTCGTAAGAACCATAAAATCAGAAAACCAGTAAGCCTGTAGTGAATAACTCCACCAATGATCTTTCGAAAGACCCAATACTACTAGGTAATGCTTCGGAGAAAAAAATGCAAATATATCTTAGATCGATCGAGAAAAAAGGTAAAACAACAAAAATACAGAACTCCAAGGAAAATTCAAATCAGAAAGTCCCTTATCAAGTGGCAAAATCAAAAACTAAAAACACACTAAACCAATGGAAAACAACTGTCATATTCCTGACTTGGTACAGACATTTCTTTGTGTAGAAAATGGTGGATTAAACCTGGTTTTATAGCTAGCTAAACCTCTCACTTGTATGACAGTCGCATACAATTCCATTATATTGACAACAATGTGTGAACAAAACAAACAGACATAATAGGTAAAAATGTCAAAAATAGGGGTACAGCAGTCAACATTGTGTTAAAATCTTAATCACTATAAAAACCAACAAGTATGTCAACAAAGAAAAACAAAATGGCATATAGACAAAGCACATAAGCAAAAATGAAAGACAAGTATACAAAAAATGACCACAGCATAACAACACTATGGCAGGTTGCACAAGTACCTAGCCACGACAAAAGGATACTACCAAAAAAATGGACTAAACAGTAAAGGTTAATGATTTACAAAGACAAATAAAAGAACACTATAACACGTAACTAAGATGATAAATAACGTCAGTACCTAGAATCTATACTTCAAGACCATCATGTATTATTTGTGAAGTTGATACGGAATATTTATCAACAAGGGTTGGTATCTTCCGATAAACTTTTTTAGAAAAAGGACGAGACGTTCTTTGACATAACTCTGGTTCATCAACCTTCTGCTCAGACACTGGTGACGTTTTATAAAGTCTGAGTAGCAGCTGCAAGCTCTTGAATACCGAATGAGTGGGGAAATGCATATCCCATATGCAGGTGAAATTGGTATATTGCTACTAAGGTTGGGGAAATTGATAATTTCAAAATTAAAATCGTCTCGTTTGTCATAGATTCTGGTACTGAGATGACCGCTTATGTCAAATTCTAGGTATAAGTCTAAAAATGAGGTGGAGGAAGCCGTGTCTGCTGTTTCTTTAATTTCTAGTTCTGGAGGATATATTAATGGAACCCAATCAGAAAAGTTTGGATTTTTAATTAATGGAAAAAACATCATCAATATATCTGAATGTGAAATTAAATGATCTGGCTTCTTTGATCTTCTTGTTTTTGACATTGTCAAGTGTCTGAAGGAACTCCGACTCGTTTGAACATAAGAAGAGGTCGGCAAGGAGAGGCGCACAGTTCGTTCCCATAGGAATACCGACAATTTGTTGAACAAGTCTACCTCCAAATTCAACAAATATGTTGTCAATAAGAAACTCCAGCATACTGATCACTTGTTCCTCTGTATAGCATGTTTTACTTTTTCACTATTAACAAAATATGCCGTAAGAAAGAGTATGGAATACTGTATTTGTTGGTAAATTTTAACTCTTACGTGCGTTTCTATATGAAAATAAGGAGAGGTTATATGATTGCCAATGAGACAACTATCCACTAAAGTTCAAATGAAGTGCATGCAAGCAATTATAGGCAACCATACTGCCTTCAACAATGAGAAAAATCCATTCTGTATAGTCGGCTATAACGGGCCTAGACATGAAAAATATGAAACAATTAAAAAAATTGAGAAAACTAACGGCCTTATTTATAAAAAAACCAAATTACGAAAAACAAATATGACAGACATAAACCAACGACAACCTCTGAACTAAATGTTCCTGACTTGGGGTGGGAACATATAGAATTTGGCGGGGTTAAACATGTTTGAAGGCGCCAATCCTCGCCCTTGCTTGGGACAGTGGTGTAACGGCAAAACACAAAAAAAAACTATACAAAACAATAAACGAAAAACAAATGAGAAACAGCAAAAAACGACAACCACTCAATTACAGGTTTCAATGTAGCATGGGAGAAATTCAATGCTACAAAAACATCTTGTTTAACCCCACCACGTTTATATTTCTTTGTTATTACAGGGCGGATATCAGTGATTGTCTTTGTTATGTGTTTTGACGTTTTATTCTTTATCGAAAGTAGTGTTGGTGGCAGATCTCCTGCAGTATTTGTTAAATGCATTCACAACTTGATTACGATATGTGTGATTTAAAGCTTGGCCTTTGGTAAAGATTCTTGTGAAATGTTGAAACCTTTGGATTTCCTATGTAATTTTTATGTTCTGGTAAATGTTGTTTGCTGTCATGAAGTACACACCACAGTCTCCTTTTAATAGTATTCACTTACCAGAGAAAGGTCATCTTCATTGTCTGACGTAAACAGAAGGTATTTCAAAGTCTCTAGCACTATCCAATGGTTCCAGTAGATAACTAACTTTTTGTTGATTGCCAGCAGTCGATCCATATTGCTGAATAATTTATTTTAAAGAATAATAGTCGTTTTATAAATTGTGTAACTAGACTGGCCATCACATTCTTTATTGAGACCTATGTTCCTTAATGTTTGCATCATTCGATCATACTATTGAATTCGTTATTATCTACATAGTCATCAGTGAAATATAATTAAAAACTTCAACAAAGCAGGAAGCAAAGACAAGGCAAATATAAAATATTGCGACACATTCTCTTTTCGTTCTTTTCTTCGTGTAAATTCTTTGATTTTCTCCTAGATAAGGCGCCAACCTCCATAAAATTACAGAAATAAGTTTGTATTTCTCTTTTGAATTGTTACATCTAAAAATGTTATCCCGAGGTCTTTCATATTTTACCATAAGGTATGGGTTATTCTCATTGATGACGGCCGTATGGTGGCCTGTAATTTATTTCCACTATTGATATTTGATGGACAGAGGTCTCATTGGCATTCATTATATAAATACAAGATCATAAAATTAATCGACAATAGTATTCTTCTTTTTATAAGTGGATTTATCAAACTAGTACGTTTCTGTCGTACATACCTTAGTTTTATGTCAAGAGGACTTTTTAAACTGTCAGATTTCTCAATAAAGTGACCCTTTGCAGTTGTGTGGAGAGAAAGTTCCAATGGTTCTACGACTGTATTTGATGGTTCAATAAAAATTTGTGATTTGATGTCTTCTGTTACATCTAGACTTTGTGTACAAGATTCCTCCTATTAAATTGTTCAAAACACAGAAAACAAATTAAACAATGCAAGAAGTTTGAATCATGTCTACACATTGAAAATAAACGATTGCAATTATAAGACAAATACACATGTATTCGAATTTTTAAACTGCGTAATACTTCTTGGTAACTATAATAATAATAGTTTGTAATGCTATCTTATATACAAGGAAACTTTAAATATTAAATCACGTAATTTCCTACCATAACAGAACTTATTTTATATACGATAGAAGTATCCTCTTTAAAAAAAGAATTGATAAAAAGTATCTATGAGTATAGGGGAAATATTTTCCATAAAGTAAACTGCATTTATTCAATATCTAATAAATTCAAGTATTTTTGTAAAATACCAGGTATATGTTGTTAGGCTGTTTTTAAAGTTACATCGTTTAGTAATATTGTTTAAATGAAACACCTTCCAAAAGGCAAAATAAGTCATGTCAAATATCTCAGATACCTACCTCTTCCATTATGCAATTATCCGATATGTTTTTTCAAACACATCCTCTTCATTGTTATATCAACATGATAAAGTACAAAAAGTTTAAGTAGGTTCTTGTTCGAAAAGTAAACATTACCAGTGATTCTTTTCAAAACAATCTTAGGAGTGAAAATACTCTTTAAGCTATAAACAATTCAGCATAACGTACGACCAATTTTGATTGTATTATTAAGATTGCTTTGTAAAACGAGCAGCAGCTGCTGTTTTGTCTGAACACTTGAAAAGTTCAGTTATATACTACACAACAACATTATATTATGACAAGTAATGCACGGTGACCTATAATTATTAACTTCTATGTCATTTGGTCTCTGGTGTCTCATTGGCAATTATACCACATCTTCTTATTTTTATGTCACTTCAGGTCAAACTTTAGTGTATGAACCGTATGTCCACAACCTACATAATCATCCTCAGTGTCACGAATTATTTGTTTAGTGTTAGCTATTTAGTATTTATTAAACTGATCGTGTTATTAACATGTATTATATCTTATGTACTATAGTATTTAAATCATTTCTATTTACCTACTGAATATCAACCGATCTATATATCTTTTAAATTGTAGGTCTTATTCTGTTCTGGTAGAAATTTGTTATTTTAATGAAGCATAGTCAACATAAGTATACCTTAACTTGTAAATTTCAACTGTTAAACATTTGGGACAACTGACATTGAATGACCTCCCTTTATGTGTTTGAAAATAACGCTAAATTATTTGGTGCGTCCGAAGCGTCTGTCTGGATTTACCTTCATCAAGAACGCTCAAACCCAAACATTTGAAAGCCCCGGATGTATAAGACATTATGATAAACACATGAAGAGCTACATGTATATGACCGAAGGGAACTAAAAATAGCAACAAAAAACAGGTGCTTGTAATGAATTTTAATCAATTTCTCCCACAAGCATTAGGTAGATAATAAACCATCATAATAAGTTATCAACTGTTAATTATATATAACCTTTTTACCTGAAATCGTAAAGAGTAATATTTTATATATTTATATACACGTATAGAACTATATGCAATTGTATTTAATTATTATCAAATAAGTCAGCTTTACTTCAAAACGAATTTATTTTTTCATTTAAGGACACGTTGGTGGTAAAGCATAAACATGGGGGTTTATTCTTTCTTTCTGTTGGTCATAACACATCCACGATTGTTTGATTACATGTCTTTAATCCATAATATTCGTCCCTTCCTAAATTGTATATCTAGTACACAAAGAACTGTTACCCAGAATAAACATAGTCGATATTTAAAAGTGTTTCAAAACACTGATATGTAAGTGTTTTTCTAAAATATATTAAAATCAAACTTGGCTATTAAATAATTCATGACACTGATTTTCAAATGCAGTTTATGGATCGAATATTAATCTTGGAACTGGAAGCCAATTGTACTTTAAAGAGCATTTTGGGCGATAAACTGTCAAAATGGTTTTTCAGTAATACAAAGAAGAAATAAAGACAGAAAGATAAAAAGAAAGAAAGCAAATGATTTTAACCTTCTTGTAAGTACCTTTCCAAAATCTGGAAACTTGTGTTTTAGTCATGTCTTGCTGTTTTTGTCCTACAGGGAATTTTCGTTGGCTGGTCAAAGCTTGACTTTACGCGATTTAAGGCATTACATTTTTGATATTACTGAAGACCGCATGATGACTCTAGATGCATGACTCCACATATAGATTTATTGAAATTGTGTGCTTAGCTAGTACTTTGTATCCGAGTTTAGTTTAAGCTTCTATGGTTTCTTTCTTTATTGAAAATTAGCCTTAGTACCATGTCTTATAATATCAATAGCGTAATACAGTGTAGTACCCAGAACGGACTTCATAAATATATATATATGCAAGACCAGTTCGCAGTTGTTTATTAAAATAATAGATTGCATGTATAAACAGCTTTACATTTAAAAAAATTAACAATATACTTACCGCTGATGGAGTCACGTCGCCATTTGGATTCTGGCCACAAAAACAGTCTGACTCGTCACTGTCGCTCATGATTACTTTTTCTGTTTAAAAATTAAAATAATTATATACAAGTATATGTGTTGGATTTATAAAGAAACATACTAGAATAGAGAATGGAAACAAGGAATGAGTCAAGAAGACAACAACCCGACCAAAGAGTAGGTTTATTGATAGATTGATGTTTAACGCCACTTTCAGCACTATTGTGCTATTTCGTGGCGGTCAGTTTTAATTGGTAAACTGACAATCCTAGTCAATTAAGATGGGAATCCATCGCACCTGCCACATGCGGGATTCGAACTCACAACTTCAATGTTTACAGGCTAGTGATACAGTAGTTCGGCCACCGAGGCCCCTCAAAGAGCATAATACAGCATAAAGCCACCAATGGGTCTTCAACGCAGCGAGAACATCCCGCACCCGGAGGCGGGCTTCTGCTGCCCCTTAAACAATAATGTATATATTAGTTCAGCGAAATGGACGCCACACTAAACTCCGAAACATACAAATGAACCAAAGTAAAAAAAACACACATACAAGACTAACAAATGCTAGAGGTTTCTGACTTGGGAAAGGCGCAAAAATGCGGCAGGGTTAAACATGTTTTGTGAGATCTCAACCCTCGCGTTATACCTCTAGCCAAAGTGGAATAACCAAACACAGCAAAATGCACAGTAAAACTCATGCACTCTTTAATGAATTTCGTAACTATATTCTAATATACAACATCAAAAGTTTGATGTCAGAAACAATGCCCGGAATTACCCGATTGTATATAAAAAGAAATTAATAAAATTAAAATGTGTTAAAATGTTTGTTATAAAAACAGATGTGGTATAATTGCCAATGAGATAACTGTGGTATAATTGCCAATGAGATAACTATTCCACAGACACTAAATGATGTAAATGTAAGCAACTATAGGTCACTGAGGCCTTCAACAATGTGTAAACACTATACTGTATACTAGTAGTAAGCTATAAAAGGCCCCGACATGACAAATGTAAAACAATTTAAACGAGAAAACCTTTATACAAAACAATAAACATAAACATATATGATAGACGTAGCGGGGTTAAACATGCATATGTTTGCTTAACAATCCCCTAAGCAATTGGGTCCCTCGATTGTCCATATCAATCAATTCACTGCAATTATTACTTCAGAGCAATTCCTCAGAGATTTTATCCAATGGAAATGTAAGTGTGTTCGAAACGCTTTTCTGGATTTACCTTCATCAGTAAAAAGGTATATGAAAAATACCGAACTCCAAGGTAAGTTAAAGAAAACCCATAAAAACTGACAAGATCAAAAGTTATTAATCAACGGAACGAGTGAAAAAACCTGTTATATTTCTGAATTAGTACAGGCCTTTTCCGAAGAAAACGGTGGGTTAGATTTGGTTTTATAGCTAGTTAAACCTCCCTCTCAGTTGACAGTTGTTTATAGTTCTGTTATATTGACAAATTTCGATGAGAAACCCAAACAGACTTAATAGTTAAGCAAGGCTCAAATTACAAATTTGAAAGCCAAGGATGTATATACATGAATTAATATTTGAATACTTGAGTATTCATATGACCAACAAGAACCAAAAGAGTATAGCCAAATCTTCTTAAGGTCAACTTTGCCTGAATGGGTTAGAACCTTTGTATTTTCACTTTTAAAGTTTAGTTTATTCTACACCTTTGTTACGACGAATAAAGCATATCAAAATTAAGGAAAGGATTTTTTAAAACTCAAAACGCTTTTAACTTTAATATATATAGATCCTGTCAGGCTTAAAAACTTTTCAGTGGCCCAGGTTTGTCTGTACCCAGTAAAACACGACCGTTTTCTAAAAAATGGTTAAGAAGAACCAACAAACAAATGGAATATTCTTCCAAAATTGTTAAACCCCATGAGTGAGAAGTTCGCAGCCACGTACGGTCATACTGGGGACGTGAAATCTGATGTCTGGAATAGAAAGAGTATCCCGATCTCTGCATATTTAAGAACTTTTTCAACAATTCTTTGATGGTGGCATGTTGCAAAACAAAATTTCTGCCTCGTATCATACTAGTGGCAGTTTAAATTTCTCGCCCGTCATTCCTGTCGTCCTCTCTTGCGAAATTTACCTTTTGATTTATTGTACGACTTTGCCCCCAGCAGAGCTATAGAAAAACAGTACATTAAGTCTAGGTTAGTCTATGGAAAGGTATATACTATGAAATTTAGAGCGAGGGGCTTGCCCCGAGCTCTTAATTTCATAGTATATACCTTATCATAGACTATCCAATTTAGCACATATTTACAACTCGAGTAATGTTTTAATTGGTCTATTGATAGTTTATTTTGGCTGACTACTTGTATCACAGGTGTTTGTAAAAAGGAGCTCATTAACGAAGTTTTGTAAAACTACTCACTAGTATTATTGTAAAATATGTGATTTCAAAAGGCCCTTCACTCCAGAATGAAAAGATGGTAGCTGCTGGTGTAAGTATGTATACTGATATAAAGCGGTGTTTTACTATACATGTTCTTCTTACATGGTAAGATGACAAAATAAATTGACCAAAAGCAGGCAATAATTAAATTGCAGTGGAAGCTTTACATGTTTTGAAAACATTTTTTAATTTCACAGTAAAACTAAAGCTATAATAAATTTGAAACATAGAGATAGTTTGTCCCCATAGATATAGTCTAGCAGATAGGCATTAAAAAGCAACTACCAATAGATCAGAGATTATAGGTTTTGGGTTTTGTGTTTTTTTTTTTTTATTATTTCAAAGTAAAAACTAAAAGATTTATCAGAATATGTTTATATATATATATAGGTGCCACATTATCTTCAGACATAATCACAGTTTTTCAATTCATGACATCGTCCTGAACATGCATGAAATATTTGCCACTGGACATTAAGCAACCAATAATCAATAAATCAATCAATTCATGACGAAATAGATCACCTACCTTAAGAAAGTTTAAAAAATTATCACCAAGTTGCTTTAATTTTCCTGCACAAGGTTTCATAGTACACACTTTTCTGTGTACAAAGTAATTGCATGGATGATACATTATCATAATTTTAAGATATCGTTGTACTCTAATCAAGGTATAAAGAACCATATGTATTACCCTTTATTTAAATGATAAAATTTGCAATTGTCAAAAACAATTTTTAGACCCAAAGATTTAAATAGCAGGATATTTAAAAATCAACGTGAAAACTAATTACAAACTATTTAATTTAATTTGGAACACAACATTTTATTTCAAAATAGCCAGTGGCAATTTTTGTTTTAAATATCTTGATTACGATACAATGAATTCTTACCCTTGTGGTCATTCATGCGTAGTTACTTAGTACACAGGAAAAAGTATGTACTATGAAAATTAGAAGGCAAATATAAGCAATTTGATTGGACGAGAAGTTGTAAGTATGTGCTAACGGGTGTTACACGGACACTTTTTAGATGATACACGGACACTTTTTAGTTGTTACACGGACACTTTTTATGAATAGAATCACTCGTGCATGATCAGTGAGTTCATGGGCACTTTAAATTTCAATTAGATTTGAACTTTTTGTTTCACCGACATATTTCCTGTCTTTTAAATTAAAATATTTACGTTAGCATCAATAACTATATTTTTCTTCAAACAATTCCAGTAACTATTCATATTAGTACACTAAGGGATTGACCATTTAACTTCAAAAGGTGGGTTATGGTTTTTTCCTTAAAAAATATTTTGATCCCCAATTTTATGAGAAAAAATATATAATATATTATATAGTTGAAAAACTAAATAATTTTCTTACTCAGAAAAGAACACACACCCTTTTGAAGCTAAATGGTCGGTCCGTAAATTATTATTTTTTTTTCAATATATGGACATGAATAGTATTCTGGACAATGCTGAAAGAAATACTGGTGCCAACGTTTATATTTCAATAAATAAGACAGCATATATATATAAAAGAAATCAAATCTAATCAAAAGATAAAATCCCTATCAACTCACCAATGCACGATTGATCCTATAAATAAAAAGTGTCCGTGTAATACACGTTCAAATAGGCAGCAAATCTTGAAGAAAATCATTCAACTTATGTCATCAATTTTGGACGGTAAGGTCTGATTGGATCATATAATGACACGTGTTTAATCCTGATTAACACTATCAGAGACATATAAAAACCTATAAGCATGAACATTTTTTTTAATCCAAAATATATGCCTATATATATCTAATAACAAGACAAAATCCATTTTTTCATAACATTTCATTCACTAATGAGATAGGAAATTCATTCTTTTGATACACTTATATTGTTATTGAATTCATATATTTGGCGGCGTACGATTTTTACGAACTTTTTAGGGGGAATGAGGGGGGGGGGGGGGGGGGGGGCAGGGGCTGGAATGGCACAGCCTGCATTCTTTCAACAAAAAAAGGATGAAGCCTATTTATTTTAAATTTATTTTAACTCCCCTTTTTCCCCCAATAAAAATCATATGGTAGCTTGCTTACCTCTGAAATCTTTTTTTATACATTACTTACTTGCGAAGTTGCATTTCAAAAAGTCTCAAATGTGTATAACATTCACCTTTAACTTGAAATGGTTCTTTTTATAAAGTTATTAGATTCTTGATTTTTTTAAGAAAAAACTCTCGACTGAAGGGAAGTGAGAAAAAAAAATTGAGTTTAAACTGTAACTTACATTAACTGGTATATGGCCATTTAAGTTTCTAATATCTTTAGTTTTGCTACCTCTTCTAAATGCAAAATGTACTTCTTCCTTCTTGAAACGTCGTACAAGTCAGATACAAAACAAAGGTAACAAAAAACAGGCCGGAAACAACCTGCCGTATAGTTTGTCTGCACTTGTAGTCAGGTCAAGATCCTCGGCTATCGCCTCGGATCTTGACCTGACTACTCGTGCAGAAAAACAATCCGGCAACGGTTGTTACCGGCCTGTTTCTTTGTTACCTTTGTATTGTATCTAATACTTAGTCAATAGTTTCACCGACATAATTGTCACAACACAAATCATACAATCATAATTTTAGGTTTTGGTTAAAATATTCGGAGACATAAAGAAGCTGTAAATATGGAAATATTGTAATGTTACTCACTAATTCGCGTTAATGTTAATCTTTCAACATCATCAACTGTTTATACGAGGAAATAATGGTGAAATGAAAAATGCACTTGGTTTTTTTAAATCTTATGAGCGGAAATATTTCTTTAGTGAATTTAGCTACTGTTTCTTCCGGGTATTTAAAAGGAGATAATTGTTGATTTGAACACAATTCAAAATATCAGTTACTAGATAAACACGAGCGGTTAATCCACTCTGAAAGTCCGTACAATTTGTTCTTCTATTTAATTCTGTTTCATGGTATTTTTTTTAAATTTATTTACCTTTTTCTGGTTTTGGGTTAAGATGTGAAGTTAATCGTTAATGTCAATTTCTTTTCACAATGATATCTGTATTTTGAAAGATAAATTGCTGCATTGGATGAAGGGAGTACCATCTCTAACATGATAATTCTTCTTTAAGGATATATATACAGTTTGGGGTTAAAGTTTGTTACACATCAATTACTTTGTCAAACCTTCATAGAATTATATGAAACTTTTTTATGATTAAGAGATAATGTCTGATGCACACTTTTGAAAATACATTTTCATTTTCAGTATTTTTCTGATAGATGGACTTTTTTACAAGTAACATTTACTGACAGTCCGGGATTAAAGTTTGTTAACCTTCATGGATTGTTATGAAACTTGGACAGAAGCTACAACCTTCAAGACCAAGAAATAACATCTAAAGAGAAAATTTGAATCTTTTTTAACATTCTGTATTTTACTGATAAATGGACTCACTTTTTAAGTCAACATTACACTTTTACACTGACAGCAGCAATCGTTAGCGAGACACAGGGTTCAGCGGAACCCCTTACAAAATTTTCACCATTTGTATTTCTCGATTTCTGAACAATTCACGCGTATGCTAAAATTTAACTCCGTTCCTTTTGTTTGGTTCTTCTTGAGAACCGATACACAGAATTGTCAAAAGGCAGTTTACATACTAACGAAGAACTTTCGGAGACCTCGATTTTACAACAATACGTACATGTTAAAGAATCAAAAATAAAATATATTTGTTCTCTGTTAAGAATTAATTCCATGTTGAATATTTGGCTTGATGTTTGTCATTATATGTTTGTACTTGTAATGTTTCGGCTGGCGCCGGTGCACTTCCTTCGTGTTTATATTATAGTACTGTCCATTCAATTTGTGGACAGGTATTTACTTAATGTAAAAAATAGATGTGCTAAAATTGACGCATTTTGTGCCCAAAGGAATACCTACAACCGATGAAATTTCAAAAGAATCTTGGCATTTATCATTTCCCTGTGACGATTCATTTACAGATTCTCCAGACTTATAACACGTAACCTTTCTATAAATTATTCGAATAAAACATATGGTTCTAAAATTCCTAATTCATAATCTCAAACACATGCAGAGAAAAGCCTAATATTAAATAGTCCAGTTATTACTGTGAGTATTTATTGCCAAACACGTGGACTATTTCAACATGTAAACCTAAATAACATCTACCATGATTTAACATTCACTTAACGTAAACTGTCGAAATTTCAAAATAGGTGAGAAAAAACTAACCTATTTATTTAATTGTAGACATTTAACTATATTCCTCATTTTGTGAAATAGACGGAATGTTATAACTAATCAATTGTGGGTTTTTTTTATGTCTGTTAAGTAAGGGCTTTCCCTGTTCTGATTTATAATATATTATGTTCTTTTGTGTACATTTTATTAGTCCACTGATTGAGATCATATAGATCCTAAGGTTTCTACGTATTTGTACATAACTGGCTTTCAAATATTTGGGTTTAGGCGTTCCTGATGACGGTTATTCCAGAAAAGCGCTACAGAAGCACCAAATTTATTAAGTGTTATTTTCATTTTAAGATCTTAAAAAGCATTGGTTTGGTCCGGGTTCCGGTCACATGTTTTTTTTTTTTTCATGTCCGGGACCTCATCAGTGGTTGTCTAAATTAATTTCTTTGTTGTTATAATTATTTACAGAATTTAGTGCTGGTACATGTAGAACATCTTTGATAGTTTCTTTTCAAATATTCACAATTGTGTTATTTATATAATCTGTGTATAACATATATATATGTATATATACTAGCACATATACGTCTAAACATGTGACAACTATATGGCAGACATTCTCCATCGGATAACCCGTAGTTATACAAGGCTAACACCATAATACAAGTCTAAATTGAAAACAACGTTCAAACATATGATTGCGTTGGATAAAAACCGCAATTTTTATACGTGTGCATGCAAAATAAATTTCTTGGTAGAGTGGTCTAAATACAGCACAAACAACATTTTCCAAAAGACCCAAAAAGTGAAAAAGTATATTTTAACAAAACGCATTTGACTAGCAGGTCGAACAACGGATGTTCTTAAACACTGCTGACTGCCATGGCGTTATGCCATATAATTTACCCCAATTTAAGATTGACTCCTGAATTTTGAAGAGTCAAAATAGGATGAACGGATCATATAAACCCGAAGGCAAATATAATACAAGCCCAAACGAAAAAATATAAACAAGTCTAAATTGAAAACAACGTTCAAACCTATGATTACGTATATATATATATATATATATATATATATATAAAATGACTGAATAATAGCCAACGATAAATCTTACGGGGCGATGGATCACATAAATATGATACAGTACACTACAAAATATAATATATAACCAGTCTAAAAGGGTAAAACATCACCAAAAAATGACAATAAACGAACAAATGTAACTATAAATATTTCGGATAACAGATATCCTTCATCAATATGAGCACGATGTAAAATGAATCAGATAAATCTATTCTGATTATTAAACTATAGCAATCTTGAATTCTATACAATAAAAAAAAGTGAAACAGTTTCACCCGAACATCATATGTAGAGACGCTAATAAATTTTTAAAATTTCCAAAAAACGAAAATAGCAATTATAGATGTGAACTGGCACAACATTAAAATTCCAAAATGACGTCAGTTAAGGTAGATGGGGTGTCTAAATTACAATCCATAGAATTGTTTAATAATTTGCCAAAATGTAGTTATATCATGGTTTTTAAAAAAAAATAATAAAAAGAACGGGTCACGGGGCTTATTTTCACGCTACAGGTTGTGCAAAATTGACAGATTTTGTATAGATTATGCATGGAAAACCCAATTTTCTGCCATAAAACGAAAACTACACCATAGAATTTTGAGATAAAATAAAAAACTAACCTATTTATTTAATTGTAGACATTTAACTATATTCCTCATTTTGTGAAATAGACGGAATGTTATAACTAATCAATTGTGGTTTTTTTTATGTCTGTTAAGTAAGGGCTTTCCCTGTTCTGATTTATAATATATTATGTTCTTTTGTGTACATTTTATTAGTCCACTGATTGAGATCATATAGATCCTAAGGTTTCTACGTATTTGTACATAACTGGCTTTCAAATATTTGGGTTTAGGCGTTCCTGATGACGGTTATTCCAGAAAAGCGCTACAGAAGCACCAAATTTATTAAGTGTTATTTTCATTTTAAGATCTTAAAAAGCATTGGTTTGGTCCGGGTTCCGGTCACATGTTTTTTTTTTCATGTCCGGGACCTCATCAGTGGTTGTCTAAATTAATTTCTTTGTTGTTATAATTATTTACAGAATTTAGTGCTGGTACATGTAGAACATCTTTGATAGTTTCTTTTCAAATATTCACAATTGTGTTATTTATATATTCTGTGTATAACATATATATATGTATATATACTAGCACATATACGTCTAAACATGTGACAACTATATGGCAGACATTCTCCATCGGATAACCCGTAGTTATACAAGGCTAACACCATAATACAAGTCTAAATTGAAAACAACGTTCAAACATATGATTGCGTTGGATAAAAACCGCAATTTTTATACGTGTGCATGCAAAATAAATTTCTTGGTAGAGTGGTCTAAATACAGCACAAACAACATTTTCCAAAAGACCCAAAAAGTGAAAAAGTATATTTTAACAAAACGCATTTGACTAGCAGGTCGAACAACGGATGTTCTTAAACACTGCTGACTGCCATGGCGTTATGCCATATAATTTACCCCAATTTAAGATTGACTCATGAATTTTGAAGAGTCAAAATAGGATGAACGGATCATATAAACCCGAAGGCAAATATAATACAAGCCCAAACGAAAAAATATAAACAAGTCTAAATTGAAAACAACGTTCAAACCTATGATTACGTATATATATATATATATATATATATATATAAAATGACTGAATAATAGCCAACGATAAATCTTACGGGGCGATGGATCATATAAATATGATACAGTACACTACAAAATATAATATATAACCAGTCTAAAAGGGTACAACATCACCAAAAAATGACAATAAACGAACAAATGTAACTATAAATATTTCGGATAACAGATATCCTTCATCAATATGAGCACGATGTAAAATGAATCAGATAAATCTATTCTGATTATTAAACTATAGCAATCTTGAATTCTATACAATAAAAAAAAGTGAAACAGTTTCACCCGAACATCATATGTAGAGACGCTAATAAATTTTTAAAATTTCCAAAAAACGAAAATAGCAATTATAGATGTGAACTGGCACAACATTAAAATTCCAAAATGACGTCAGTTAAGGTAGATGGGGTGTCTAAATTACAATCCATAGAATTGTTTAATAATTTGCCAAAATGTAGTTATATCATGGTTTTAAAAAAAAAATAATAAAAAGAACGGGTCACGGGGCTTATTTTCACGCTACAGGTTGTGCAAAATTGACAGATTTTGTATAGATTATGCATGGAAAACCCAATTTTCTGCCATAAAACGAAAACTACACCATAGAATTTTGAGATAAAATATGAGAAGATAGCTCAAATATTATGCTTTCAGATAAGAAAAAGAAAAAATGGGGTCACCGGACCCGTTTTCTTGCTACATAATAAATAGGTAAATTCCTAACACATTCTATTGTAAAAATAACTTTATCTGAATTATCTGCCCTTACATTTGAGTTGCCTCCCCTTATGTGGCAAAGTTGGAAAAAATTGAATTAAACAAATGTTTTCTGTTTTTTTTTAAATACAACCATAAATATGGTAAAACATGTCATTTTCTATA